TGGGAGAAAATATTTGCAAATCATTTATATGACAAGGAACTTAAATCTAAAATGTTTAAAGGACTTATTAATAAAAGACAAATAATCTGATTTTAAAATGGGCTATATGAACTTGAATAGACATTTCTCTACAGTAGACATGAAGTATGAAAAGATGCTCAACATTATTAGTCATCAGGGAAATGTAAATAAAAACCAAAATGAAGCTGGGCTGGGTGGATCAGCCTGCAATCCCCCGCTTTGGGAGGCCGAGGTGAGTGGACTGCCTGAGCCCGCGGGTTCAAGACACGCCTGGGCAACTTGGCGAGACCTCATCTCTACAATAAATCAAAAATAAGTCGGGTGTGTCCAGCTACTTGGAAGGCTGAGACAGAAGGATCACCGGAGCCCAGCAGGTCGAGGCTACGGTGGCTGGGAGCAGCCACTGCACTCCAGTCTGGGCGACAGAGTGAGACTCCCACTCAAAAACAAACCCAAAAAACCCAAAATGATATATCAATTCTTACCTACTAGAATGGCTATAATAAAAAAGACAGACAATAATGTGTTGACAAGGATATGGAGTACCAGAAGCTTCACAAATTGCTGATGGGGTTGTAAAATGCTGCAAACACCTTGACACAGAGTTACAAATACCAATCAGCACTTCCACTTGTAGGTATATTCCTGAGAGAAATATGCCCACACAAAACTTGTACGCAAATGTTCACAAGCATTATTCATAGATGAGAAATAGTGGAAACAATTAAATGTCCATCAAAGGATAAGCAAAATGTGGTGTATAGCCATACAATGAAATATTCAGCCATTAAAAGAAGTGATGCTCTGACACATACTACAACATGGATGATACTTCAAGCCAGACACCAAGGGCCACATATTTCATTTACAGTTGATATAAATGATTTCTTTTCTTTTTTTTTTTGAGTTGAAGTCTCACTCCATTGCCCAGGCTAGAGTGCAGTGGCACGCTCACCGCCACCACAGCCTTGATCTGCTGGGCTCAGGCAATCCTTCCCCTTAGCTTTCCAAGTAGCTGGAACTATAGGTGTGTGTCATCACACCCACCTAATTTTTTTATTTATTGTAGAGATGAGGTCTTACCAAGTTGCCCAGGCTGGTCTCAAACCTGTGGGCTTAGGCAATCCTCTCACCTCGGCCTCCCAAAGTGCTGGGATTACAGGTGTGAGCCACCACACCCAGCCTGATATGAATAATTTCATACAAAGGATTCTGTATACAAGAAGGGATGCAAAATATTCAGAATTTATTTATGAAAAATTGAGTATTTATTCTATATGTTTAACCCTTTGCACCCAGAGACATCCCACAGATCACCTACCAGCAACTTGACATCACTTCTGTATGAAATAGTGAAAAGTGAACCACTTCATATTAAATAGTATAGTGTTGGAACCAATTATTTCATTATAATAATATTTGGCTTACAATGGAATTTTGGACATTGAGAAACTTATTTATGACAAAAAAGATCAACATTTTATATCTCATGTTTTTCTAATGTGTGGTACATGTGAAACAGTCACCAACATGCATTGCAAGTTCACTGACACATATTGTGCAATAGTAATTTGTTGGACGTCTTCCACCTGTTGTTTTTCTATTCAAGCAGACAATGTAGTTTCGTTTTCTTTCTCCCACATTAGTAATATGTAATTTATTGTCCAGTCTGTTGTTCAAAGATGTAGGATGCACTTGTGATTCCTGAAAGCCACTTCTCAACTGATTGATTATATCTCAGTATATATTCCATCTCTTTATTTGCTTTTTTGTGCAATTTGAATGGAAAACTTCAGGGAAACATACATTAAAAAAAAAAAAATTTTGCACTTGCATAAGTCTGTCCTGTGTAAACACCAGCAATCTCTCTTAGAGGGAGATGTTAATGTTATGCCCACACAAAACTTGTACGCAAATGTTCACAAGCATTATTCATAGATGAGAAATAGTGGAAACAATTAATGTTCTCTTAGAGGGGACAGCTGAGTGCAAACTTCAGTCACCGTCAAAGTATTCTCTGTTTGATGCAATACATCTATGGAGACCCTTTTTCCACTGCTAAGAACTGTTTTTGAACTTGTCAGTTTTTATGCCATTTAGAGCTTCTGACATTTGTTGTTTCACTTCTTCCACACTGACAAAATGTTTCCCTTCGAGAACTTTTTTCATGCGGGGAACAAAAAAAGTCATTTGGGGTGAATGGGGAGGGGTAAAGCATGGGGATCATGCCACTTTTGGTCAAAAACTGCTGAACAGTCAGCACAATGTGGGCAGGTGTGCTCATAAATTAAGCATCATGAAATGGGCAAATGCAATGAAAGAAACTTAAAAAAAAAAAATCAACGAAGCCAAACACAGCCTCTCAGAACAATGCCAACTAGCACACTAATGCCGATGGGTCCCTAGAACACACCTAGTGGCGGACACCTGTACAAGGGGCTTGTCCTCCAAAAAAAGTGATTCCAGTTTTTATTGGGTCATTCCTTCATACATGAAATGTCTAGGAAAAAACACTCCATAGAGACAGAAAGTAGATTAGTGGTTGTGTAGGGCTGGTGGGGTTAGGGCAGAATGGGGAGTGACTGCTCATGAATACAGGGTTTCCGTTTTAGGATTAAGACACTGCTCTGAAATTAGATGTTAGTGATGACTACACAAGCCAGTGAACATTATTAAAAACCACTGAATTGCACACTTTAAATTTTATGTAACATAAATTAGATTTCAATAAAGCTGTCATATATTAAAAAAGAGGTCACAAGAGCATAATCTGTTTTGCAGGCACTGACGTTTAACAAAGTTGTGTCTCCACTGGGCAACTTCATGTACTATGTTCCTCAGAAAACTGCACCGCCAATGTGATAAAGGAATTTTATTAAAAAGTTAAAAACGTGCCAGGTGCAGTGATTCATGTCTATAATCCCAGCAGTATGGGGACCATGGTGGGAGGACTGCTTTAGCACAGGAGTTCGAGACTAGTCCAGGCAACATAGTGAGAGCTAGACTAGCCTAGGCAACATAGTGAGTCCTCATCTCTACAAAAAATCAGAAAAATCAGTCAGGTGTGGTGGCGTGAACCTGTGATCCCAGCTACTCAGGAGGTTGAGGTACAAGGATAACCTGAGCCCAGGAGATTGGGGCTGCAATGAACCGTGATCATACACAGCACTCCACAGCCTGGGCGACAGAGTAAGACTCCAACTCAAAAAAACAATTACAGAAATAAAAAAAGGATTATAGCTCTTATAGAAATTAATTGCAGCCAGGCACGGTAGCTCATGCTTGTAATACCAGCACTTTGGGAGGTGAGAGGACTGCCTGAGCCCAGGGGTTCCAGATCACGCTGGACAATCTGGCAAGACCTTGTCTCTATAATAAACCAAAAAAAAAATTTTGTTTTTTTGAGTTGGAGTCTCACTCTGTCGCCCAGACTGGAGTGCAGTGGCATACTCACAGCCACTGCAGCCTCGACCTGCTGGGCTTCAGTGATCCTTCCACCTCAGCCTTGTAGGTAGCCAGAACTACAAGGCAAGCTACCATGCCCGGTTAATTTTTGATTTATTGTAGAGACAAGGTCTCGTCAGGTTGTCCAGGTGAGTCCCGAACCCACAGGCTCAGGCGATCCACTTGCCTCGGTCTCCCAAAGTGCTGGGATTATAGGTTGAGCCACTGAGCCCGGTCAATAAACCAAAAGTTTAGCTGTACATGGTGGTGCGTGCTTGTAGTTCCAGCTACCTGGAAGGCTGAAGTGGAAGGATCACCTGAGCCCAGCAGGTCGAGGCTGCAGTGGCTATGAGCATGCTACTGCACTCCAGCCTGGGTGACAGAGTAAGACTTTGACTCTAAAAAAAAAAAATTAATTGCAACATTAATTTCTTTAAAGGATGATAAAGCAGTTAACAATAATCCCTGAAAACTGAACTCATAAACAGCATGCATTTGATTTACCACCTGGGCTCAATGTCCCTACAGTTGGTGAAACCATGTCCTCCAAAAGACAAAACAGAACCGTCTCTGGAAATAGACTCTGCAGAAAATTAAGTTAAGATGAGGTCACACTAGATTAGGGTGAGCCCTAATGTAGTGACTGTACTCTTATACAAAAGGGGAAACTTAGACACAGACATATAGGGAGAAGGCCACAGGTAGACAAGGCAGAGGCTGGAGTGATGACTCTACAAACCTAGAAGACCAAGGACTGCTGGCAAGGCCAGAAGAGGCTCTGAACGGATTCTCACAGAGCCACTAAAAAGGAACCTGCCCTGCTGACATCTTGATTTTGGACTTCTGGCTTCCAGAACTGTGAAAGATACATTTCTGGTGTTTTAAGCACTCCAAGTTTGTGGTAATTTGTTGCAGCAATCCAAGTCATTAATAGCGAGTAAGCAGTAATTTACTGTCTTAGTCTAATTTTCTGTTGCTTAAGCCTGAAACTGGGTGATTTATGAGAAAAAAATGTATTTCTTATAGTTCTGAAGGCTGGAAAATCCAAGGTCGAGGGTCTGCATCTGGCGAGGACTCCTTGCTGGTGGGGACTCTGTAGAGTCCCGAGGCAGCACAGGGGTTCCCATGGCTGGAGGCTGAGTGTGCTAATGTGCTGCCTCAGGTCTCTCTTCCTCTTCTTATAAAACCCCGGGTTCCTCTCCCATGATAATCCACTATATCCATTAGTCCACAAATGGGTTAACACAACCATGAAGGCAGAGCCCTAATGACTCAATTACCTCTTAAAGGGCTTACCCCTCACTACTGCCACAACGGGGATTAAGTTTCTACATGAACTTTGGAGGGACAAACATTCTCGTCACAGCACCTACTCACAACCATAAAAACCTCTGATTAGCGCAGTGGTTTTCAAACACTTGGCAAATTAATTTAAAACAAACTTTTTATGGTAAACTTATGCAACAACCATACAGAAACACAGAATGCCAACATCTTGTGGTCTAAGATATATTTATAAATAAAAATCACTTTACCTTTCCAAGCATTCTGCCTAGGAAGTAGTAATGTCTAGCAAAAGAATCTCCTACAAGCATCTGAGCAGCTGGGTTGGGGTACAGAAGCCCTTCATTAGTAGTCTTAAAGAATCCTTGGTTGGGGTTAAATCCTGATTTCAGTAGTTCATTCAAAAACTCTCTGAAAATACCGCCACCATCAATGCCAGCTTCATCCAAGCCGTGGGCATTGAGCAAGTGCACGCGGATCCGCTTTTTCAAATCAGGCTCTGTTTAAAAAGATGGGAGGGGGACGAGGAAAGATGTTATAAGCAAGCAATAACATAAACTGGTATTGTAGGATGTCTTAGGGAAGGGGAACAAGGATATTAGGGATATTTAAGTGCAGGACTCAAAACAGCAATGATACTAAAGAGAGACAGTGATAGAGACTGACCAAGATTTCCCCAGAGTCTACAAAGGAATAAAGAGGGAAGGCATGGAGACGGGAGATGAGTGGTGTTCAGGAAGTAATAAAAGCAACCCCCATACTCTAAAAAATATGACAGAGCACAGTCTTACAAGGGAGCGAAGTGAAATGAGGGACGTAAGAGGACATGATTATTACCACCAAGAGAAAGAGCTGTCAGTGATGTTATAACCGGAAGTGAACCCTATCAATGAGGTGAATGACACACAAACATTTAGGGAGAAATATTCCAGAATCTACAGGATCTTTTAAAAGGTATCTGCCTGGAAAGGGGAGAAATTACTGGTTATATAATTTGCTACAAAGTAAATTTTAAACATTCAACTTGGTGAGACCTCATCTTTATAATAAATCAAAAAATTAGCTGGGTGTGGTAGCACACGCCTGTGGTTCTGGCTACTTGGAAGGCTGAGGTGAAAGGATTGCCAGAGCCTAGCAGGTCAACACTGGGGTGGCCATGAGCTTGCCACTGTACTTCAGCCTGGGCAATGGAGTGAGACTCCAACTAACAACAACAACAAAAAAAGTTACAGATCTCAACCATTCTTAATGCCTGAGAGCACGCCTCACACAGACTTGCTTCCAAAGGTTTCAGGATACAAGTCAATAAAGGTGACTCTATCAAAAGCAAAAACAGCGCCTGTAATTCCGGCTACTCGGAAGGCTAAGGTGGAAGGATCGCCGGAGCCCAGCAGGTCGAGGCTGCAGTGGCCGAGAGCGGCCACTGCACTCCAGTCTGGGCGACAGAGTGAGACTCCAACTCAAAAAAAAAAAAATGCAAAACCAAGGAGGCCAAGTAAGATCCTTTGTTGGACAGATTGAATTCCAGAACAGGTTTGGGGAAGTACCTGAAATGTCCTTTATCTTTTCTTAAGAATGTTCTACAGGTGCTTTGCAAAAAAGGTAAGGGAAAAGAAAAGGGGGGGAGAAGAGGGGAGAAGAGGGAAGACGAGTAGAGGCAGGCTGCTGCATGAAGTGAGGGGAAGCAGCAAAGCAATGGTACCCCCCAGGCTTGCTCCCTGAACTACTGCCCCCACTTCATTCGCTGCTGCAATCTCTCTGTGTCAGTGTACGGAGCATTGCAGGGGACAAGCAACCTCTAGAAACACTCGGAAAATGGGTTTAACCAAACACGTGTTGGTTGAGACTCCAGGCACTATCCTTATAATCCTGGTCTTTTCTATATTGCTATGTACAGGTATCAGTGATTTTGAAGTTATACTATCTATAAAATGTTTTCAAATAAGACAAATGCAATTTATTGTACTGCCTGAGGCTTATAGCACCATGCATAGGAGTACCAACTTTCCATTCTTTGGATGAGGGTCAACTGCATGGCCAGCAGGGACATTTGTGCTGATGTGCCACATCCTATCACTCCCCCGGGTTAGTGCCCATGTTTCCCTTGGGAGTTAGGTAAAAAAATCTAAATGATTTGGATATAGCTTGCTCTCCTACTTTGTAAAGGAGTAATAATAGTTAACACTGATAATTTACCCTGAGCTAAAAATTTAGCATGCATTACTTCAAATCCTATAATGACCTTCTGGGATAAGAATTATCCTCATTTTGAGGATTGTTTGAGCCCCGGAGTTCAAGAGCAGCCAGGGCGACACAGCCAGCCAGACCCTATCTGTTAAAAAAAAAAAAAGAAAGAAAAAATCCGAAAAAAATTAGCCAGGCGTGGTAGCAGATGTTTGTAGTCCCAGCAACTCCAGAGACTGTGGCAGAAGTATTGCCCGAGCCCAGAAGCTTGAGGCTGCAGTGAGTGGTAACCTTGTCACTGCACTCCAGCCTGGGTGACAGAGTGAGACCCAATTCAAAATAATAATAATGATGATGATGATTATCCCCATTTTGTAGTGAGAAAATTAAGAAAAAAGGTTAAATTATCTATTCTAAAGTGAAAATTAATATTGTAATGGGTAGTGACATAACTAGGAATGTGTGGCTGGGCATGGTGGATCGGCCTGCAACCCCAGCACTTTGGGAAGTCGAGATTAAAAGATTGCTTGAGGCTAGGAGTTCAAGCCAGACCGGCAACATAAAAAGATCCCATCTCTACAAAAAAACAAAAAAATTAGCTTGACATGGAGGCACATATGTGTAATCCTCATTACTTAGGAGGCCAAGGCAGGAAGATCATTTGAGCCCATGAGTTCAAGATTATATAGTAAGTTATAATCATGCCACTGTACTCCAGCCTGGGCAACAAAGCCAGACCATTTTAAAATGTGTATGTGTGTGCGCATACTACCCACAAAGCCTAGGCTGTTTTCATTAAAATATAGTTTATTTCTCTTTCTCTCTCTCTTTTTTTGAGTTGGAATCTCACTGTCATCCAGGCTGGAGTGCAGCGGCACATTCATGGCCACTGCAGCCTCGACTTGCTGGGTTCAGGAGATGCTTCTGCCTCATCCTTCCAAGTAGCTGGAACCACAGTTGTGCACCACCATATCTGGCTAATTCTTGATTTGTTGTAGAGATGAGGTCTCGCCAAATTGTCCAGGCTGGTCTCAAATTTCTGGGCTCTGGCAACCCTCTCACCTCTGCTTCCCAAAGTGCTGGGATTACAGGTGCAAGCCACTGCACCTGGACGCCTCCCTCTTTTCTTTTCTTTTTTTGAGTTGGAGTCTCACTCTGTCACCCAGACTGGAGTGCAGTGGCCGCTCCCAGCCACCGCAGCCTCCACCTGCTGGGCCCTGGCGATCCTTCCGCCTCAGCCTTCTGAGTAGCTGGAACTGCGTTTGGTTACCACGTCCAGCTAATTTTTTAATTTATTGTAGTGATGAGGTCTTGCTGCCCAGGCTGGTCTCAAACCCACGGGTTCAGGCAATCCACTCACCTCAGGCTCCCAAAGGAGCGGGATTACAGGCTGAGCCACCGAGCCCGGCTACCTCTTTTCTTAAATTTAACTTTTATTATATGAGGAACATGCTTTTCACTGATATTTAAATTTTACAAACATGTTATTTGCATCCATTTTAATTACTAATTATAAAATGTTTAATTTCAAGTTATAGATAAAATGCCAAAAGAAATCTAATCAGCTACTTATAGATGCATCACAAAAAATATATTTGAGTGTTTCTTGCTTTTACATATATCCTCTTAATACCCAGTTTTAAGAAAGAAAAGCATTTGCTTGTCATATGTAATATTTTGCCGACTGTCAGGAGTTAGATGATTCTGTAAAAATTTTTGGTGTAAAAACTTTGTGTGTGGGAAATACTCAACCACGGTCCACCCTGTAACTCTCACACTCAACCCTAAGTACCAAGCCTGCTGTCTCTGAGCACCTCAACAGCCATGAATGGAAGGTAGCCCTTCAGTCATGGCTGGATTTGAGGCTTTGTGGCTTCCTGAAGCTGATTTCTGTAAACAGCAACATACAATAGCATAATAATACTTTCATAATCAAATCTAGCCTTCTGGGTAGTTTCCCCTTGTTGCTATGGACAAATGATAAATATCTACTTACACATTAAGGTTTTAGTGAAAAGCTAAAGAAAGACTAATTTTATTTTACCTATTACTATTTCTCCTTAAGAAAAACAATGTGATGAGTTCTGTGCATTAAATGAAACAAAATAAAACCACTCAACCAACAAAAGCACAGAGAGTGAGGCTCTTTGGAGCTGACCACAGCACAGCTCAGCACCAGCTCTGCCACAGTGAAGGACAGCAGAAGCCTATGAGGGCGCACCAGGCCAACGGGAATCACATGGCAAACCGCATCTCTATCATCCTACAGCAAACCTATGAATAAATTTGAATCTTTCTCCATATTCTCCACATTGCAACAAGTCTGTGCCAAGTACAAAGGAGCGTGTGGGTGTCCCTGTGAGCCCAGGCTCAGCCCCAGCTGTACGGTGCAGGTTGTCAACTTCAGCTCTGCTGGGTCAACTCATTTTAAAATGGGACTGGCCGGGCTTGGTGGCTCAGCCTGTAATCCCAGCACTTTGGGAGGCCAAGGTGAGCAGACTGCCTGAAACCACAGGTTCAAGACCCACCCGGGGAACTTGGCGAGACCTCGTCTCTACAATAAATCAAAAATTAGCCGGGCGTGGTAGCGCGTGCCTGCAGTTCTGGCTACTTGGAAGGTTGAGGCGGAAGGATTGCTGGAGCACAGCAGGTCAAGGTTGTGGAGGCCAGGAGCATGCTACTGCACTCCACTCTGGGTGACAGAGTGAGACTCCAACTCAAAATAAATAAATACATAAATAAAATAAAAATGGGACTAATACACATACTTCAGAAAATCATTCTGAGGTGAAATGAGATAATGAGCATCTATAAAGGACAGATTTATTTTAATGACTAGATGATACATGGAATAATCACATTAATTGATTATATGTAAATGATCAGTGAACAAAGCACCTTGAATCATTTTCTCATAAGTAAATTAAATTCCAGCTGGGTGCAGTGGGTCACACCTGTAATCCCAGCATTTTGGAAGACCGAGGCAGGAGAATCGCTTGAGCCCAGCCTGGGCAACACAGTGAGACCTCGTCTCTACAAAAAAATAAAAAAATTAGCTGGGTGGATTGGTGCATGCCTATAGTCCTAGTTACTCTGGAGGTCAAGTCAGGAGGATTGCCTGAACCCAGGAGGTCAAGGCGGTGGTGAGCCACGATTATGCCACTGTCCTTCATCTTGAGTGACAGAGTAAGACCCAGACTCAAAAAAATAGTATTGATTTTACTAATTTGCCTAGACAAAATACCAATTTTGACACATGGCTTAAAATTTCTTATGTAGGACAACCCTCTTGGGTCCCCTTCTGCTCTGGGAACTTTTCTGTCCTCTCAATAAATCCTGCTTTCCCACCAAAAAAAAAAAAAGGAAAATTCTTATGTAAATACCTGAATCAGAGAACATTTGTAAAGATTTTAAGCATTATACCATAAATATTATGAAGAAGTTCTTCCAAATCCTTTAACCTCAATGTGGTTATAGCATATATTTAGGGAGATGGGGTATGGTTAGCTTTTGAATACTTTTTAAGGTTTAAAGAGTCATTAGGAAATTTGTAGCTTGTTATAATTGGGCAGTGATATCCTTAAAAACATGTAAATAAAATAGTTTTAAAGTTGATTTTAAACTATTGGTAATAAGCACATATTCTCCTTTGGCAGAAGAGCACACACTCTCCTTTCCCTAGGAAGTCTCCATCCTCCAAGTGCAGAAGGAGCCATGCCCCTGTTAGCGCCTGTGCCCTCTATGCCCCTCACCAGAGTCTTGGCTCCTCTTCCACACTTCTCCCTTTCATTAAGG